GCAGGAATGGGGGAGAAAAGTGAGCTTGAAGTGTGTTCATTCAAGCCTAGGTTGGATATTTCATACACGTTTTGCTGAGTTTTTAACCCTTGTAAACCCCGTCTTAAATTTTTGATTAATTTTAAAATGAAAAATGTTGTTTTGAACTAAAGAATCAGAAGTATTAGCATGAAATGCTTAGGCATTACAAACTGAATTATTTCATATAAGAAAAGGTGAAATTAAAGCTTTGATACTATTAAAAATACCTTTTTTCCAGACAAAACTAGTAGCTGAATTCAACCCAAATATCTAGTATTTCAAATTATGGCAAAATTACTACTCTCCAAAATATGTTGCTCCACTTTAATATATTATACCTTGCTGCTTCTTCTCTTTAGATTGCTGATTTGGCAGCAATGTACTGTTATTTCCACAGGTGCTACATTGATTTTGGTGGAATTCTGCACAAAAGTACTGCAAGTTTTATTCCTGCCAGAACAGATCTGTTTGCAGAGGACCATGGATAGAAAGAAATTAGGGATAACAGCTTTCTGTCTGCACATTTTAACAGGAAGTTCCTCCCCCCCTTTTTTTTTACAGAAGGTGGCCTTTCACCCAAACTTATCAGCCCACCTACACCTGCCATGTACAAGTATCGACCGGCTTTCAGCAACAATCCCAAAGTCCACTACCACGCTACGGCTGAGCAGGTGAGCAAGCCTGGGAGGATCTGCTCTCAGCTAACACCAGGCAACATGGAGCTGAACATAAATTCACCGCAGGGCTGTAGTGAATGTCAGAGTGTAAAAGTAAATAACAACACTTGGCATTGTTGTGCGATAGTGTATATTTTCACTATGCTCCTTATGAAAACATGTCTGCTTTCGCAGCTTTCGTCTGTTGAGCTTGACACATCTGTCCTGCTGACAGGCATGCACTGCTGCTTTATCACTGTCTCGGCCTGATCCTGAGATGCTGAGAAGTGTCACCTCCCATTGGCTTCTCCTGACATAGGTGCCAACTCACATTCACTTCAGAGGGAGCTGGGCATGCTTAGCGCTTTTCTGGATCAGACCCTTTAGCCAACAGACAACATGCTCAGGATTCCTTAAGATGTCAGCTTGCAAAACAGAAAGAAATTTTAAAGCATCCAAAAAGATATTTTAGTTAAAATTAATGGAAGATTCCTTATGTTTGACCTTCCTTAGCACCTCCTCAGTGCATTTGGGTTATATGGAAAAAAACTCTTCCTAACACTTGGCATCATTTTCTCCTATCAAGGAAACTGAGGTCCAAACAATTAGAGAGAATTGCTCTGGAATTTTGACTGTTTTCTCTTTTGCTTAGGAGTTTTGAGACAGTTTACACTGTTTCCTTTGGAAGCAGAGTGCAAAACTAAGCCCACTGCTAACAGGCTTGTTTTTCTCACTTATTTCTCATGGATTTGTTGCAAATACTCCTTTTGGCCCCTCAGGACCTGAGAACAGCAGTTTGAAAATCACTGGTCTAACTTGTATATTTGCAATATGTATCCAAGTCTTCACACACCAGTGGAGATGCCCTTAAAACACACGTACCACACACAATGCAGTTTTCTTACAATTAATTTCATCAGGTCCTCCAAAGTCACCCCTGCAATAACAAGAAGGGGGTGATATCTCTCTACCATGTTTTCCTTTCCTTACTTATACAATTGACTGCAGCAACACTGGAGTAAAATAGAATGTTCCTTAAATGGTGAAGAAAACATTTCTAGTATCCTTCTGATTTCGAAAAGGAAGATGGTGATAGGTGGTACAATTCCAGGTACTACCAAGTTCGGGTTTTAGTCTTACTGCAATAATTGTAAATCTTATTCTCTGGATTTGTCTACTTAATGAAGGAAAGATTGGCTTATGAAAGGGAACATAAGAACAACAGTGTGTTCACTGTATCCAGAGAGTTTAATATCCTATCGTCTTAACTTTATTACATGAGAAATGGCTTGACATCCAATTAAAAGTAGTCTATTTATAGGCATCAGCTAGCAATTTTGAGCTATGTAAGCAACCGTATTTTGGGTCATGATGCCAAAAGTCAGAGCGCCATGGAAGGCAAGCTTGTTTTATTCATTCAGTACATAGCCATAGATGTGATATAGATACAGTATAGGTTCTAATTAGGCCAGGAGACTGAGCAGTGGTATGAAATGGTAACAGGGTACAACATCTTCACTCTGAGGTTTGCTGTTTCAATACTAACATAAAAAGATGTTGTTACTATAGGCTGACTGATGTACATACGATCAGCTTTGTGGAGTTCTTCAATTTTATAGTAGTCACAACTTTCTAGTAGTCAAGTGAGAATTTTATAAAAATCAGTTCACTTGGCGAGCTGATAGGATAGCGTGTATTTGTCTGCCAAGCCGTATCTAAGTATAAGGTACAGAGACTAGCTGGTGTGAGGAATATCATGTTGTCTCTTCTGTATCTGTTCTCCAGCCTGTCAATGTAATTCTGCTTTTGAGCAGAAAAACCTGTTAGGAAAGAGGGATCGGAGCATAAGGATAAGTAGCACAAATATACTTACAAGCTACGTCATTGCTGTCTCCTCCTCCTTTACAGGCTGTCACTTGGTCTCCTTTTTCCAGAGAAGGCCAAATTTAGCACCGTCTTGTAGAAGAAAGTGAGCTGGTTTGCATATTTCCGTATCATCTAGCTCAAAGAAAAAAAACTTGAAGAAAATAGATTTTTGCCAGTTAGGCTTTTTTGATAATTTTTCCTTAAAAAGAAATTAGATAAAGAACAAACTGCATTGACTGCATTTCTGGTTAAATATGTGACTGAGAATAGTGCTTTGTTTACGGAGCCAATATAGCCTATTTATTGTGCATTATGGCAAACCCTTAAAAGTAACAGCAAAAATTATTTGCTTAGCACAGAATGGCATTTTAAGTGAACAGAACTGTAAGCAATCTTTCATAGAGTAAAACAAAGTGAAGTCCCATCTGTTTTCAATGCACATAAATAAATTATGGACTATGTTTCCTTCTCTGATGTGGCTACTCTCTCTTACACAGGCAATAAAAAAGAGAAAATTGCTCCATTTTGTTGTCTAAATGGAGGGAAGGACCCTCTCTGCTTTAATTAAACTTAGGTGCTTAATTTGGAAGACCTATGACCAGAAATTCAGAATTACTGATTGTTCATAGCTCTGAATAAAATGGATAGGACTGTGCTGGTCCCCAGTGTGTTGAAATGAAGCCTAAAGTATTTCTGACTCAGCACGCAAAACCAGACATCCCTGAACTCAAGAACTATTTGTGGAAAACTTGAAGTGCTTTTTCCAAGGGCAGTATTATCAGGTTACAATCTGATTTACCTTGACTGAGACCTGAGTCTCTGTTTAGAACGTCTCTCAGTGTCCATGTATTGGCATATCCATTACTGTCATTATTTAGCACTTACTATGAATAACTCCTCCTTGCTTCTAAGGTGCTTATCCATATGCTGAACAGGAGTTAGGAGATTCCTTATAATGAAGCTGTGTCATAGCTGGGCTGAGAGTCTGCGAGAAGACCTCCAGCTTTTTTCTTCCCTTGCACTTACCATGGAGAGCAAACCTGTACTTGCGTATCACTGGCTTCTGTTTCTCATATTCACCTCTGTTTTAGATCACGATGCAGGAGGGACACAGTCAAGGGGCTCTGATAGAAGAGGATGGCAGGAGCCTTGATTACCAGTCCGAACCCAGCCTGGATATCCCCAGCTACCGGAAGAGCTCCCTCCACAAGACCTATCAGTCTTCCCCGCTCCAGATAGATTCCTTTGCCATCAATTCACGATCCCTGAGCCTGAAATCTGCTGGCAGGAGAGGGACAGACAAAGTACCCCTTCATCCAATGAAGTCTGAAGGGGCGGCTTCCACCCCTTACAAAAGCATCTTTTCTCCCAATTCCCTGTCAAACAGAAACGGGAGTCTTTCATATGACAGTTTGTTAAACCCCATGTCGCCCTCGGGGAGGAAGTGCATCACCCATTCTGCGGTCAGCTCCGTTGGGTACCACTCCCCATATTTATCAGCCAAAATGTGCCATCTACGGGGGAGCGAGCTGCAACGCCAACCACCGCAGAGCTTCAGCCCGGTGCTGGGGGGTCCAGCTCCACATCAGCGAGACCCCTCCCCAGTCCGTTATGATAACCTTTCCAAAACCATTATGGCATCCATCCAGGAGAGGAAGGAGATGGAGGAGAGGGAGAAGCTCCTCCACTCGCACCCTGATTCAGTGTTTGCAGACTCAGGTGTCTATGACACCCCTAGTTCTTACAGCCTTCAGCAAGTCAGCACGCTCTCTGAAGACCCACGCAGCATGGCAATGAGATATGGATCTAGAGACAATCTGATGGCTGCTACCAGTTTTAGCACAAGGAACCCTATACTGCAGTCCTCAGTGTCTTCACTCTCAAGTGCAATGACAAGAGCACCAAGGACTTCCACAACTTCTCTGCAAGCTGATTTAGCCAATAATAATGTCCAGTCCCATCAAGCACTCCAGGGCAGGGTGAGCAATGGCTCCTACAAATCCCCAGGCCACCAGGTCCCGTCATCCCCCACAGGGATGCCTAGGTCGCCCTCTTATGGAGGCCCGAAGGCTGTCTCGTTTGTAAACACTGTGGAAATTACAGAGGTGCAATCAGTGGGAGCACAAAGGTATGTACTGCTTTAGGTGCTGCTTAGCAAGGTCAGTCTGTTTGCAAGCAAGTGCAGAGCACGTTGCTGGAAGCATGACCCAGATTACATGTTTGCTGCAGGCCAGCGAGGGTGAGAGGTTCATGGGTGCTCTTCAATTCTGCGACACCCTCACAGCAGCCTCATCATGACAAAATGTTTGCACGTTTGCTGTTAACTTGAACTGCACCTGGTCAATTAAGTTGTGAAAGTCCAGCCATTGCTTGGACACGAGACAGAGTTGGGATCACAGCATGTGCAAGCATAGCCTGCACTAAGGGAAACAGGGTTGGAAACTGTGCTTGGCATAGAGAGCTGTGTATTTAGCTGTGTTGAGTGTCCCGTGGTACAGAACTGGTGATACAAGCACAGACCATATTGGCATTACCTTAGGGCCTCGCTGCCCCCTTCTTTTCTGTGAGAAAGGGTGCTGTGCTGAGACCCTTAGTAAGTGGTATCTGAGCAAGAGCCTCAGCTGCAGCTTCTGCATGCACTTATCTTTCTTTCTCTTCCTTCTGGAGACATAGGGCTTGGAAAGTCTGAAAAGAGATACATGATCGCACCGAGGATGCCGATATTTCAGCCAAGTTGGGGCCTGGAGGGCTCATCAGAAATACCTAGGTTTTCTTTGCATCTGGCACTTATTGCACTATGCTGTCCTCTGGTTAAGGTCCCAGGTTTCTCACTCCAATATTAGCCAACATTTGGGGAAAAGTTATTGAAATGTGGGAAAACCACAGGTAGGTCTCCTGAAGTTTAGTGCCAGCAAGTTTTTCCTCAGTGTTTTCAAGTGAATTGTAGTCGTTAAGATGATTTGTCTGCTGGTGGAAAATCTGACTTTCAGGAGGTAGACAGCCATTTTTTCCTCTTTGTATGTGTTAAAGAAAGGAGTCTGTTTCAGTGAAAGGAGACCTGTGGACTTTCTTTTGCCTCTCTGCCCTCTGAGACCTGAATGTGTCAGCTGCTGCTGTAGAAGAGACGCTAATATGAAAAGCTGTTTGCCTTTTCTTAGTCTCTGGTTCTTGGTGCTGCTGTCAGCCTGCTGGTCCCACTGCTTTTACATTGTGCTTGTTTAAAATGTAGAGCCTGTAAATTCACTTCAGTTCAGGTCTTTGAAGTAATGAAAAATACAGTGTTTGGCAAAAGTGACTTAGCTATTAAAATAGCCACAGATCCCATCAGATGTTAGAGAAAGTCACAGACACATGATGCCATTGCACAGGATCTTTTTTACTGAAGTTCCTAAAGTCAAGTCAAGTACCTAGATTAATAAATAAATAGCTTAATAAACTTGACGTTTTTTACCTAGTGAAGCAAACCTCCCACAGGCACTGTGTGCTTTGTAAACCTAGCATGTTTTCTCTGTCAGTAGCACTACAAATGACTTTTCCTTCTCCCCTAATGCTCCTCAGCTCCTTTCTGCTTTGTTTCAGGAGGCAAATTCTGTTCTTCAGGAGAATTTCAGCACTGAATTAGGGTTTTTATAATACTTTGGTGAGGCAAATGTAGAATTTGATCCCTGCATATTTTGGCTGTTTGGGGATATAGCAGCATTTTATGAAACCACACAGTATTTTTTTTTATAGTTATGTATGTGTGTTTTGCTGGTTCAGATACCCACGACTCCATTCTCTAGTGCCAGCACAGCTTAAATGAGGAGCAGAAGCCGAGCTGGTGTGAACTGATGGACCCACTGCTCCAGCTCCAGATTACAGCTGTCAGACCAGGTTGTCACATAAAAAGTGCTTTTAGTTTTGGAGCTATTCTGAGCCTGTCAGGAGCTGCGTAAAAGCACAGGGCGGTTTGTTTTGTTTTGCAGACACATGTAAAGAAAGCAATTGCCTTTTGAATACAGTTAATCCATCAAACTCTCTGGCCTCCAGAAGAAGTCAGGGTGGTCTGAAATAGCTCAGGCTGTCTCAGTTTGCAGGCAGACACAAAGTGTTCCCTTCTGGAAGGTATTTCAGCCCCTGTCACTGCTGCTGGCATGAGCCAGTCTTCAGACTGAGGCAAACTCAAGCAGACATCCACTGTGTTGGAGTAAGAGGTGAGAGTACAGCACACCCCAGTTGTGCTGGCACTTCCAGAACAGTTTTTGGTAGGCTTTGATCTAATTACTTTGTGAGTCTTGGGGACAAGACACATTAAGCTTTAGTGTGTAGTGGCCTAGATTTAAAAGCTCTTTTGAGGAAAGCCTGTTGTCCATGCTCCCTGGCAGTAGGTCATAAGAGAGGAAATTATTTTAAAGAGTCCATCTGGAATATGGTCTTTTAATTACAGGCATCCTAGAGTGCTTCCTGACTCGATTCAGTTTGTGTCTTCTGTCATAGCAAAGTCTTACGCTTCACCTCTCTTAGGTCTTTCAGAGATGAGGAACATAATTTTGTTTAACTGGATATTTAACTGGGAAGTGTTTTTCCTGAGTATTTTATTTCTGATTGTAAGACACAATTTGGCTTAAGGTCAACAATGGTGACAGTTAAACCCTGCTGCGTCCTACAAATGCTTATGCAATTAGTTTGGTTCAACAAAGCATTTAAGCAAATAATTAAGTGAACAAACATTACTGGGGTCTGATCCACTAACCTAGTGGCCAAATGAATTTTCTCATTTCAGTGGCTTTTCATCGAGTGTATTGGCTTCAACCAGATTGCTCCCATGCTTGAATATTTTGCAACACTGGGACTCGGGGTAACAGGGATAATTGTTTATCCTGAGTGAAGCCATTCTGCTATCACACTTTTGTCACTAACATTGCATCTTTTGATATTTCTTTTGATGCAGGGATGACATGCAGTTGAAGACACCTCACAGTAAAATAAATGGACAGCCAAAAGGAATATCCAGGTTGGGTTCAACATCAAGTTCCCAGGGGACACCTGTCAGCCCTGCTAGACACTCAAACGTTAAGAAGGTGTCTGGAGTTGGTGGAACAACCTATGAAATTTCAGTGTAAAATAAAATTAATTAAAAATAAAGAGCCATCCACTCAGCCAGCCATGAAGCTAGGAGCACTGTGAAGACTCAAATAACAACAAAGAAGGAGCAGCAGCAGCCGGCCACTCTCCTTTTCTTGTTTTGGGTTTGTTCTGTTTTCATCTTTCTCTTTTGGCCAAAAACCAGCTGCAGCCTTATTCTTGAGGGAATAAAACTGTACAGTCCATCAGACTCTTCCTGAACCGACAGGAGAGAACTGGCTACGACCTAAAACCACAACCACAGAGCAGATTTCTTTCATGCAAGAGAGCGCTAAAGCCATTGTGCGTGCGTCTGTCCAACAAACCTGTTGTGTACCAGTTGTGCTGTGAAAAAGTACGGTCAGTCCAGGATCATTCATTTTTTTCCATGCCCCCTCCCAGCTCTTCTGGCGAGCAATGTGTCCGGCAGGAGTCAGGCCCAACTGCTGTTTTCTTACCGACATGGAAAGCAGGCTCCCCGTGCTGGGACGTCTGCGTGTGCGAGAACTTCTCTGTGTCCCCCAGGCGTTGCAGGTTGGGTTCCTCCTCCTGAGAAGGAGCAAGGCAAGGGCACTTGGGCCACGAACGCCGTGTCGTCTTTAAAAGCCTCCCTGCTCCCTCATCCTGGATGGGAGCGGGAGAAAGGATAGCAACAGCTTCTCCCTGTCTGCCATTTGCCTCCCTGTGTGTGAAATTGTGTGTGTGTGTGCGCGCGTGTGTTAGTCTCTCGTGGAAAAGGACCGCAACACCAGTAAGGATCTTCCACTCTGACCTCTTGCTCCCTCTGGTTTTTAAAGGCTTCTCTGACTCGGAAACAAAACCAAGCAGATAAAAAAGGAAATGTTTGGATGGGAACATGTTTTAAACAGCTGTCAGCTGCTTTCCCTGCACCCTCCTTATTACCTGTTGGATTTAGGCAATAACATGGTTTACTGCCTTGCCCTGGTGCCGTCTGTGTAATCCTGCAGCAAGGTTATCATAATCTGTTGAATTTACAGTGTGTGTCACTGAGCCAAGCTTACATCTAAAGGATATAAATTTTCTGTCAGCCTAATTACTAGCACATTCCCTCTGGTCTTCAATACTGTTAGACAAAGGATTTTCCATTTGGTTTTTTTCCCCTGGGGAACAACTTTTTGAAAAAATATCAATCAAATCTATTTAACGTTCTGAGATTTCCTTGTCCTTTCTCCAGAAAACTACATTTACTTTGTTGGATTTAAAGACAACTTTACTACAAAAAACAAGAAAGGGGTGCATTACTTTTGTCACAAATATGAGGACTCTGGCAAAGCTAATTTGGGGACAAATGGATTATTTTTTTTGTCTTTTCTCCATTCCTTATCTCCTTTTCCTTCCCATTCAGTTATCACCTCAGAAGTCAAAAGTACTGAGATCTGGACCAATGCTACCTAGCCAGATCGCGTGTGCAATTAAGACTATCCTGAGCAACTGTTGCCAAAGTCACTAAAAATGATTATTTATCACTGAGCCAGTCAGCATATGAAACCTTGACTTCCCATGGTTCTCCTGGTGAATAGTTTTGACTAGAGAGCTAACTTCATCATTTTTCAGGATATATGTTTCAAGGGGTTGAATCCTTTTCAGTCCTTGACTATAATGGAGAGTTCTCCAGATACTCAGTATTAATTCAGAATGTGTTGATAACATCTTACTTGTTTTCATGTATGTTGAGATTAATTATTCCAGGAGGCAAATATTGACCTCAGTTTTGCCTGGTTAAAATTTATCTTTTGATTTGACAAATCTTGAAATCTGCTGCAATACATGCTTATTATGTCCCTTGTATATCACATCCTCTTTTGGAGAGGAAGGTTGAAGAGAACATAAGAAAGTTGATCATCTCTCTGTGTAATGCTCTATGTTGCCTGAAGGGAGAAACCTGGAAAGCAGTGCAGTTGCAATAGGCTAAAGTTTTGAGAAAGTGAACTAGAAATCAGTGTGGTTTTTATTGCCTTCATGATATTTTAAATGCCTACTGTAGGGCCATTGCAGAGCAGAGAAACAATAGACTTTCTATGCAGATTTGCTTGCTGGCATGTGGAATATTGTCTTTAGTTGGAGGCAGCACAGTACCAGAAAGATGCTGGAAAACTGGATCAAGTACAGATGGAGCAATATATATTAAAAGACTGGACAGGCTGGCTGATGAGAAGGATTAAAGGGCTAAAAACATGTCACTGGCTAAGCAATGAAGTGGAAATTGAGTATCATCATTTTACAAACATGTTAGTTATAAGATGTAAAACCAAAGGTAAATCAAAGAGCTGTGACTGGTAACCAATGGTCTACATTTAGAAGGGGGCAGAAAAGATGGAGGGAAAGGGGCAGTGGAATAGTCTTCCAAGGCAGAGTATTGGAGACTAACTATTTTGGACAGTCAAACTATATTTGGACAAGTCATTAAAAAAAATTCTATAAGAGGTGAGCCTGCAGGGGCAAGGGGCTAGACCAGATGGCCTTATAGATTTCTTCCATCTTTAACTGTTATTAATCTGCAACTCTACCCTGATGTTAACTCCTCAGGAAGATGCAGTATCTCCTCAAGGACTGGAATACACTCTGGTGCATAGAGTATCACAAGACTTACTTGTTTTTAAAGTATCATGTATGCCATATGTAAGCCCTGAAAAAGAGGGGATGTGTGACACACTGAATTTAGGCTGGGGAGCTAGTCAAGGGCACATTTTATCATGTATCTTTGAATATGTACATGAAATTCATGCAAGCAAGGCTGAAAATTTGCACCAATGTAGTATTTGAGATTTGCATCCCAGTGATGCTCCACTTTGATCGTTCTTTCTCCTGCATTTATAAACAAAAAAGCTACTGAGGAACTTGAAGGGCAAAAGAGCCTTTGAAGTTAACTACATTAGTTCATGAGAGAATTTCTCAGTAAGACTAAACACAGTATTGTGTGTATAAAGCACTAATATCCAGGGTTATTTTGACGTAGTTCACAAGGGGTAAGGGAGGAAAGAATGAATGCACTGTGTCGTTACAGGTTCAGATGTAAGGATTATATATTTTATGAGTAGTTTTGCCCACAGTTAAGAGACATCCGACTTGTTAATAGGTTTACAATGGTACCAAAGTCATCTTTTTTTTTCCTTTTGAGGTTTGCATATAATTCAGTGCACATAGCCTGCAGTAAATTATTCAAAACTTCTGAAAGAATAATCTAAGCAAAACTGTTAGCAGGAGATTGCATGCAGCAAATCCAGACTCATTTCCATCCAAGGCACTGAACCTGCAGCTATTTCCTCATAAACGTAAGTGTCTGCTTCCATAGCTCCTGTTGCGGGACTGGGGACCTATTTATTAAGTCTAATTTTGGAGCAAAACCCAGCCCATGTTAAAGTATAGTTCTTCAAGCAGCTTACAGATTAGCAGTAAGGTTCTTCTGCCCAGATAGTCTCAGTTTTCACAGACACTGCAGGCCAAATCTTCATCTGCTGTAAATTGGTGTGGCTCCATCAAAGCTCATTTAAGTGATGCTAATTTACAATAGGTGGGGATCGGCCATGAAAATCCAGCACAAGTTAACACATCTTGTAAAGTAGCTTCTTTATTTTTGTCATGTTTATTTCGTGTTTCAGAAGTCTTAAATCTTTTCAACATGTTTTTACCTTTAGCTGTGGATTGTAGTACTTATTTAAAAAACAGCAATAGTTTTTGTTTAGTTTATGCATCGATTTCCATTGCATATTGCATTTTATTAGCCATTCGTTCCCTGTTCATACGCTCCCATTTAGCCTCCAGGTTTTCATTGTAGTACAATCTGCCTTGAAAAGTTGGATCTCTGTATCTTTAATTGTATAATATATTGAGTATTATGAAATTAAATGTACCTTACTACATGGGTGGGAGAGAGAGGAAATATTTTTACTTGAAGCCTTAATATTTTCTTTTTTTTACTACTTTGTTTGTTGACCTCATAGGAAAGTCTGAATAGCAAAGACTTTGAAACTCTGGGCCAAATTCTGCACTGATATACAACCGGCATTTGGCCCCCTATGTCAAAACTGGATGCAGACATAACCTGAAGTGAACAAGGGAAAAAGCCTCAGGGTGGCATATTTTCCTGAAGATCATTAGTACAGTCTCCAGATGTGTCTGTAAGCAAGTACGTTAAAGAAGTCTTCAAGTCTTGAATTTTTAAGAAAGGTGATAGCAGGAACTGCCCTAATATCTTACATTTGCATTTTCTTTTTAAATTAAACAAAACAAAACAAATGTAATTACTTAGTTTGGTTAAAGTCAGCTCAAAGGGTTGCACAGAGCTATGTGTTAGTAGCCATGTGCAGCAAATGAACTGTGTTGTGTTGCTGTTCTAAAATTGCTAACCAAGCATAATGTTATGTCAACTTGGCCTAAGATAATCACCTCATGGGCGTTACAATGGACGTTCCTCAGATGATGCCTATTCTCCTGTAAGCCTAATGTGGAAATTGCAATGTGGTTTTCTTTGGACTATATCTGTGGTCCAGACTAGAGATATAGATATAGATATATATATATTCAATATTTTTTTGTGTGTGGGAAAGATGGGGTCAAGGTTGCTGTCTCTGACAGTCTGGAAAGTTAATGTCGAACCGTTTTTATGGTCTGTATTTCACCTGTTCTGCCACCTTGAATTGTTGGAATGTATCCGTGCAGGCTTTGTGGAGCTCTGTCTGTAACCTTTTTTGTGGCTCTCGTAATACATATATATTTTTTAAACCTTTGAGTCACTTCAGTGTTTTAAAGTGTCTGGTTTTCCCCGGTGAGTTACACCTCAGATGCATTCATTTGCCGAGATGGTTCGTGGTGTGCTGCCCTTTTTCACTTCCACTTGTGCGAAATGGGAACTGAAAACAGTAGAACTGGAAAGGCCAGTTCCAGTGCAAAATCAGCAGGTGACAAAATATTAAAAGAAGTGATTGCAGGTTAAGTCATTTTCAAGGTGCTTCGGGTAAAGTAGAAAATGTGCTGAGTC